ACTGAACATTTCAGCTGATTTCATGGTACTTATTAACCTTTCTACAGCAGCTTTTCCGATGATATATGGTACAATTACACTTCGAAATGGTGCAAAGCGGTGCATACTAAGGAGCATTTTCAAATGCTTAATGTACAGTTTTTCTATTTTAGGGAGCGTACTTTAAATATTTACTGAGCATTCTAAGATTTCTAACGTATTTTGATCAATCATTTAAGGAGCAACCCGATCTATTTTAAGGAGATTTTTTTTACTTATTAAGGATAATTTCATTTGTTCTATTGAGCAAAAGTAGGGCTGCCCTGTTTGTTGGTGCAGCACATAAATAAAAAAAAACTATCAGTGCGGGAAAGCGGACGGCAATGGATCAATGAAAATGCTGCGGTTTTGACAGAACTGTGCTGTGGCTACCACAGTATTTTACATTTGATCTTCCATACACGGCGAATGAGAACGACTCAAATTTGAGTTTAGTTCACTCATAATCGCCAAAAGTGCAGGAACTCAGCGATGAGTTAATTTGCCTCATGTTTTCCCAGGTTTTTCCAGGATTTTTCAGGGAAAAATTCCTGAATTTGAGAAAAGTAAAGATTGGATTCACTCAGTCTATTGGTACCACTCCGAGACTGAATAAAATTTTCGTCAATTTCCTCATTTTCCGGCAGATTTTTTTGGTTTTCCACAGGAAACCATGAGACAAATTTTACTCATCGCTGAGTTCCTGCACTTTTGGCGATTATGAGTGAACTAAACTCAAATTTGAGTCGTTCTCATTCGCCGTGTATACAGTAACGCCAAAAGCATGCTGTGGTGGATTCAAAACTTGACCATCTAAAATGATCAATTGATCAATTTAGATGATCAAGTTTTGAACCCACCACAGCATGCTTTTGGCGCTACTGTATATGGACGATCAAATGTAAAATACTGTGGTAGCCACAGCACAGTTCTGTCAAAACCTCAGGTTTTTCATTGATCCATTTGAATTGCACGTAACGGCTCGGAAGAGTGAAGTGAAATTTTCCTCAAGAAACCGCGATATTCTACGGACAAGGCTTTGACGCCATAGAAAAATTGTTGGCGCATTGCAGTGCATTGTTCGGCGGTCCAATTGTGCGTTTCGTGGCGCCATCGCGAAACAGTTCGCGATCACGGCGATCACTCACAGCGTGACGAGGAGAGGACATTTTGAAGGTGAGCCATTCTACGACGATTGAAGCGCCAGGAACGATACCGAAGCAGCCAGGAGCGACAGTAGACATACTATATTCGCAGCATAATTGGGAAGTAGTGTGTATGTTTATTATCAAGGTGGCCTGTTGCATGTGGCTATCGAGAGGCAACAATAAATGATTGAATGTGCATGCAAGTTTCTCCTTCACTGCGTAGCCTTGTGGGTTCTCTCAAAGGCAAGTTGTTTGGTCTCCGAAGTCTGCTGGAATATTCAGCTTCACTCTAAAACAGGGTACGCACTCGTGGATGCCTTTCCAGACAAGATTCCGGACGGTTGTTGGCCAGAATCATTCTCAAATAGACGAAATCATGAGCTGCTGTCATCCATGCAGCATCTTACGATGGTAGTGGACGACGACGATGTGTGTGAAAGGATGATATTGGTTGAGAATGTACGGGTGTTTGCGACGGGTCACAATCGATGCGTGACGAAGCCGGCCGCCAACGGAGATTATTCCGTCTTGTAGTTGCTGGTTCAGAGATAGAATCTTCGATGATTCTCGAACTTCTCTACCATTCTTCAGATCTTTAAGCTCCTGCGAGAAACTTTCTCGTCCAACACCTTCAGAGCTCTATCAAGTTCAAGCGTTGTGAGGAATCCAAGACGTCGATTGTTGCGATTCGTTGGTTGTGTATTGTAGCGAAATCTGAGCATCCATGCAGTGAGGTGTAGGAGATCCATGTACGATGATCGAAGGCTGATTACGTCGCTTGGGGCTGTTACTGGAATTGTTGCCGATACACTGTTGGCTTCGAGATCCGCGGGATCGAATTCCTCTTCACGGAATTATGGGGCTGAAGGCCAGTTGTGTTCGTCTGAGCTTTGCCAATACGGACCGTTAAACAAAAGCGATTCGTGTTGCAGCTGAGCTGGGATCATCCCACGGGAAATTATGTCTGCAGTATTGTCTAATCCTGCTGTTTAGTTTCAACCGCCATTCTTGGTAATATGCTGAATCTCCGAAACCCTATCCGCAACAAACTGCTGCCATCTGAACGGCGACGATGAATCTGTCCAAAAGAAACATTTCGCTTCGATTCCAATACTGTGCATGACCTTTTCGAACAGGTGAGCTAACTACAAGGCTGACGACTGTTCTAGGCGTGGAGTGGAGAGCCGCTTGTTTCCTTTCTTCAAGTTGTCAAGTGGTGCAACGCGTGACTTCGCTGTCAACAACCTCACAAACACAAAACATCGAAATTTCGCACACCCGCCATTTCCCGCGTCATCCTCAATCCGATTTATCCTTGCGATTTCGAACCAAAACACTCAGGTGTCAGAAATACCGAGTTGCCCGGATGGGTATTTTACTAACAATCGCAGCTTGCTCTATGACCGGCACAATCGGCACACCAGCGGTACACACAGATGACCCAAGATTGGTGTGCGGAGTGACCTACCCCTTGTTGTAGGTAGTTAAATTATCTTTTAGGAAAAAATACACTGAAAGAATAAAAACTTAGTAAATTAATATAAAAAAAAAAACGGAAAACGTTGATTAATTGAAAACACCCCCCCCCCCCCCTCCCTTTTATCATAATCTATCATACAACTTAAAAAATGTTCTAAAACTTGGTGAAAAGTGTAGGCTGGTAACTTTTATTTTTAATTTTTTTGTTAATTTTTAAAGTTTATGAAATTGCATTATTTTTAGTAAAATATTAATTTTTTTGAATTTTTCGCATAATTTTCAAAAATTGCAGTCATTTTCAAGTTAATGCGAATAAATAATAATAGTAATAATAATTTGCAACATTTTATACCATTTTCAAATGTTAGTCATGATGCCTTGAGGCAATCAACGTTTTACGTTTTTTAATATTTATTTACTTAGTTTTTATTGCAGTGTATTTTTTCCTTAAAGATAATTTAACAACCTACAACTTCTTCTCAGATCTCATCTTGATCATGTTATGATCGTGTTATTATTTTTTGAAAAATATAATCAATTTTTCAATACGCCCTTTTCAAAAGTTACTGTGAAGAAAAAAAATCATATTTAAAAGAAAAATGCAATAATTGTTAGCAGCAAACATTCAAATCGGAAACACTCATGTCCAACCGGTTGGCGTTTTGGGCTGGAAATGCTCTGCTTTGAAACTGCCCATATTTTTTACGATTGGTCGAAATTCCGGGCTATTCGGAGGATTCATTTGCTTTTTGGCAGCATACCACTTCAGAACCACCTTGGAGTAGTGGCAGCTGTCCAAATCGGGCCAAAAGATGACTTTGCCCCCTGTGCTTGCGGATGAACGGTAATACACGCTTTTCAGGCATTCTTCGATGTAAACTAGGGATGCCATCGAGGATGCGACGAAAAGTTCCGTGTTCAGCCAACAACTGCAAATCACTTGCCAAATTATGGCTTTCGTCTAGAACTTGTCGGCAAACACGAACTTGAATCTTTCCGGCACATCCCCACGTCCAGTCGCGGTGTAAAACTTTTGACCGGGAAGCTGCTTAAAATCGAGTTTGATTTATGTTTAGTCATCGATCAAAGTGCAGTCCTTGTGTTTCGTCTAAACACGATCATGCAAGAGCCTTGCACGCTTTTTGGCCACGGAATTCTGCTTCATGTGCCGGTTCGGATGTTTACTGGCTTTGTACGACTTGTATCATTCCCTAGCAAGTATGTTCCGCACCGTTCTGGCCACATCTCGGATCGAAAGACCGGGGTTGGCTTTAACGCACCTCAAAACCTTGCTGCGCAGCTGACGATTCCTGGTTCCAGTTTTTTCGTTGGTCCACTGATTCCTTTCCACACTCAGGGTTTCCTTGTAGGTTTTGAGCACTCGATAAACTGTTGTTTTCGGCATCTTCAGCACTTTAGTCAGCTTGGAACCGGACCACTCCGGATTTTTCTTCTTTCGAGTTCCATCTGACTTTATTTCTGAATGCGATGGACTGCTTTGATTAAAGTTGATCTCTATAGAAGTGTAAACAAACCACTGTCAAAGATTTTCGATTCCCAACACTAGAGGCGTGCTAGCGGCGCGCGAGGGGCGTACCAATTTACTTTCAGTCAGCCTTTGCATGTCCGATTTTCAATTATCCAATTATTGATTATTGACAGTCAGCATGCATAAGGGCGTAAACGTGATGATCGATTCTCTTCGTCGATTTTCTCTTTTGTTAATAACTCGCTATAATTAACGTTTCTCGGTGCGTTTGCTGTTTTTTTTTAAAGCCAATTCAACCTGTTACAAATATGTATTGAACAAATCATAGAAAATTGTTTCGCCTAGCTGTAGCAATGCAAAGAGACAATCGATCATCGCGTATACGCCCTTATGCATGCTCACTGTCGAAGTGTTTGACTTGGAGAAGACATGCTATTTTCAACAACAATGCTCTAATAATTATGTCAGGAAACGATGAAGACCTGCTAATGCTACAGTACCCTTTCGATTCAATCACAGTTTGATTTTGGCACCATGCCCCTCCCCTTCAAAAGTTTTGAAAATCATGGGGGTGTTTTTTAATGCTGAATGGAGGAAATGTCGAGCTCTTTCAAAAATTGTAACATGTTTGATCGCTTGCTCATAGTATGTATAATGTTTTAGTGCTACAGGTATACCTCGATATATCGTAACTGTCACTTTTAACTAGAACACGCGCCCTTACCTTCAACTGAACCAAAGGGCAGGGCCAATTTTTTTCGTACATCGAAATCAGTCGTTTATACTAGTTAATAGTTTATAGTTTATACTTCCTACGCTACCTATACCTTCTAATTCATCGAAAATTTTCGCTTTTCCACTTGCAGAGACGTCCGCGAAGGCATCATCCGTTGTATCCTGGCCACGGACATGGCCCGTCACAATGAAATCCTTACGCAGTTCATAGAGGCTACACCCATCTTCGACTATAACAATAAGGTTCATACAAATTTGGTAAGACCCCTTCTCTCATTTCCTCCTACCAGAAAGCACCCACTAACGAATCCTTTATTTCTAGCTGTGCATGGTGCTAATCAAGGTGGCGGACATCTCGAACGAGGCCCGCCCGATGGACGTGGCCGAACCGTGGCTGGACCGGCTGCTGCAGGAATTCTTCGCCCAAAGTGCCGCCGAAAAGTCGGAAGGTCTTCCGGTGACGCCGTTCATGGATCCGGACAAGGTCAGCAAACCGGGCAGCCAGGTGCGCTTCATCGGCCTGGTACTGCTGCCACTGTTCGAAGCCCTCGGTGAACTGCTGCCGGAGCTGACCGATCTGATCATCACTCCCGTGCGGGTGGCGTTGGATTACTACAAGTGAGTTTCCGCAATCGATGTATGGTTTTGAGATTGTGAGATAATTTGTGGATTGTTCGTTTCGTAGGAAACTGAACGACGTGGCTACCAGGGCGCGCCGCTCGATCGCCGAAGCGGAGCAGTCCTCGGAGAACAACAGCACGGCGACGACGGGAACCGGCACGGGTGGAACGGGGGCCAGCAGCACGACGACCGGCGGTGGAGTTGGAGGAGGAGGCATGGGAACCAGCTCGACCGGATCGCCCCAGCTGCCACGGTCGCAGAGCGGCATCAGCGTCAAATCGAGACGTAGTATCCCCTCGCAAAAATCCGTCTCTAGAACATCTGTTGATGAGCCTATTTTAATTACAGCCGAACTGCACGACCTACCCGAGGGCAGTGAGAGTGGAGACTCGGAGACGGCCACCGAAGTGGATGTGAGTATGGGCGGTGGATTTTTGGGACTTTTTTTAAAGGGGTATTTAAGGTTTGGTAGGGCCACCTTAATTGCGATGATTTTAGTAGGGTAAAATTTGAGGTTATCCAAACTCTTGCCATACTTTGGTCAATGCATTTATAGACAGGGAATTTCGGTAGTCAAACTCAAATTCCCCAAGACATGCGTGGCTAATTGATTTTTTTTTCAACACTGAATATCTTTGCGATAGGCTCTATTTTTTAAAGTTCGAACCTGATAAACACAACCATTTTGAGCTGCATGCACACCTGAATTAATAGACCTCAAGTCTTCAAAATTGATGCCTAGAATATTACCTCCCAAAGCCTTTCGAAGTCTCCGCAGCTGCTTCTAGGGACTGTAAATTACGTACTTTTTTTCAAGATTAGTCGGTTCCCGTATTCAAATTTCACCGAGTATTGGCAATTTTAAACTAGCCCATATCAACGGAAATTTATTCATTTCTACGCCTAGGCCTTAAGAAATATGTCCTTGCACACTCTCGATAAAGATCTGCTGGTGAGGGAATTCTATCCAATTGTTATCAAATGCTATCTCCGCTTGAAGGTGAGTCTGTAGGTTTGACCATGTTTTCCTGCGATCAAGTTAATGCTTTTTTCAAACACTAATCCCGTGGTTTGCTCATTCATCGGAACATTAGAGAACTTTCAACACCTTCCAAGTCAGGGTTCTTCATTTCTTTCGATTGTCCTTCAGAGTTTGACCAATGCGTGTCGATTTCTTAGGTACATGCCTAATGGTAGTTTCTCTTGTGCTCGTTTTTGCAGGTTGCGGAGAAAACATCCCGCTTCAAGGTGGACACCGAGAGTAGCCACCGCAAGCAATCGCACCCGAGCTCCCGCAAGGGGAGCCGCGAGAAGCGCCCGTCGATGATCGGCGAGTACTACACGACAGGTACACGCATTCGTGGCTCCCACGGCAACATTCAGCATACTAATCGAACGTATTTTGGTTCAAATCGTGCCATTAGCTTAGACCAGTACAGTAACAATCGCCGAATGTCCGACGGCATCCAGATACAGACCGTGGCGTCCGATAATAGCGTATACTACCATCAGCGGCAGCATCGGAGCTTGGAGCACGATTCCACCGGTGGGATGTACTCGTCGTCGGACCGCAGCACCAGTCTGAACAGTAGCAATGAGCAGCAGCAGTTGCTACAGCAACTGCAGCAGCAGCACTATCAACAACAACAACCACAACAACAGGGGCCATTTCAATCTAGTCATCATGCGCATTTTCATCATCACCATCACTACCAACAGGCGGCGGCTGCTTTGCACCAGCTGCGGGCGGTTCAAGACTGTGAGAACATGAACATTACCGCGCCATCGACAGCTCTGGCGGCAAGTTCGGGAAAATTGTTTGCGAACTTGAATAACAACAATAACAGTAGCAGCAATAACAAAAATATTGGCAAGAAGATGAACTGGTGCCAGCAGCAGAAGCTGGATAAGGTTCGGAATGTTAGTAATAACAACAACAATGGGAGTGGAGGCGGAGGTGCGGGCAGTTATGGGACGAGTGGGTCAACCGCGGGGAAAGGAGGAAACGGAACAGTGAATGGATCGAACGGCACGGCGTCGAAATCAATCATATCAAGACTGAGACAATTGACTGGAAGATTGAGCTTTAATTTTGACTCCAAGGAATCGAAGAAACTGCAAGCGCTGGCTGCGACAACTTCGACGACGGCCGGGGAAGGTGCAGAGGATGGTAGTGAATCTCATCAGATGGATGGATCGGGTAAGAGCGGTGCCGGCGGTGGCTGTTTGACGAAGAAGACTCGGCTGTTGGAAAAATCGAAAACTGTAGACGTGAGTGGGTCGGTTGCGATCTGCGGTGGAGGAGAGGGAGTTGGAGAGTACTGCTGTGCCGCTGGAGTGATACTGAATCAACCCAAATCGATATCGCCTATTCTTATGCAACATCGGAACAGTGATATTATAAGTTCGATCAATACGGCTCGAAACCGGGCGTACAGTTTGGACGTGCCGATCGGTAGGAATTGCTGTAGGAGTTTAAGTGGAAGCACGGCCGGTGGAGGAGGATCGAGCTGTGGAGGAAGTCACAAGAGCTTGACTTTTTCGTTGAATAAATCGTTGAACGAGGAAGCGAACGATACGACGATAAGTTCTGGAGGTGGTGGCGGTTTGCGACAACCACCGCTAGATGACACTACTAAAAGTGGGGGCAGTATCAGTGAAACCATTTGACAACACCCTTACGAACCATCACTGCAGGGCATCCTGTTGGCTTCGAGCTCACTACAGACGGATTCGCCAACACCTCCGCTTTCGTCGAGACAGTCACATCAGTTGCTGCCGGCGAGCAGTAGCTCCGGTGGGAGTAATCCACCACCGTCTCTGCAGCCGTTCAACCGACGGCAATCATCGCAGGACGGCACTGGCGGTGGTGGCGGCGGCAGTTCCACTGGAGGCTACCAACGGGCACCGTACGCCGAGTCGGAGTCGATTTCATCCAAACACACTTCGGTTCTGGTCAGCTACTGGGCTTGTCTGACGGAACGGATGAGCTCGCTGATTTGCAAGTGCTGCGAACGGACGCTTCCACCGGCCGAGAGCGTCTGAAAGCGGGTGCACTGAGGGTCGGAAGTGAACAGGCGGCCAGGTTGCTGTGAATGGTTCGTGAGGAATGGGAGGAAAGGCTTCTGAAGGTTTATTTCGATTGTTCGATTAAACATTTCATGCTTGTTGGAAGATTTCATTTGACATTTTCCGCATCTACAATTTACAATTTAACTTTTTCTACTATTTAAAACGCTCCCATTCCTCTGGAAAATGATGGTTTTAAAAATTGAGATAAAACATGAATTATAGCGATATTTGTTAGGAAAACAAACAAAACAAATCTTATTGACCAAAAACACACTCGAACGAACGTCAAGTTTGCAATGTTTCATACCAAAACAAACAACTAGAAAATCAATTGTAATACTCCCACTTTCAACTTCCCAACCACCTTAAACTAATCTAGAGCGAAAACCTAACAAAAAAGCGAACATATCACTTTCTACTGTTCAACATACGGAACCTTTTACTGACGGAAATTTTAGCCAAACCGAAAATACGACACATACAGAGCGAGGGAGAGAGAGAACGCGTCGAACCGAACAGAGAGAATCCGAATTTATGCACTCGTTTGTCGCTCTCTTCGCCTGCGTTGCTACACTGAGAGAAACAAACGCGGTACGAATGCAAAGCAAACCAGTGCATTACAGTGCTCTTTCTTAGCTTTCGCCTCGAAGGCCAACTAACCTTAGACTTAGTGCGATCAAATGACATACCAGTCCTCCGAACTTTTTTCCCCGGTGAAAGTACCTTAATGTCTCTAGAAACACTCTTATTTTTTCACTCACGTGTCTCAAGTGCGATCCAACTGTGTCAAACCACTGTCCGTGTCAGATCGCGCCTGACTGTAGTCTATCGACCTAAACAGAGGGAAGAAAACAAACAAAATGGCGGCGCTTTAGCATGCTTCGCGCGCAAAAATAACAAGCTATTTTAAAACACTTACTGACTACTACCGACTAGATATGGTTAAAAATTCATGTTGCAGGCGACATTATAAATAAATTGAACCCTATTATGAAATGCAAATCACTCACACAGATAAAAAGTAAACCCACGCAAAATATATTTAAACTAACAAAGCAGAACAAAATATTCATCGGGCTACTGCGCGCGCGTCCGCGAATCAAAGATGGCGACGCGCGGTGGTGCACTATATTATAGCGAATAAATGTGACAGTCGAATATCGAACCCCTCCTTTTTGGTGTCAATGTCTCTTAACAAAAAGCAAACAAGCAAACAAGAAAGGTTAGATTTAGGAAAAATTTAGCACCGTAAGTTGAAGCAAGTAGTGGAATCTTAGGTGTTAGTTCGTCACACTCTGGAAGTATGTATTTAACTAGTAAGCAGAACTGCTAAAGCAGTGCGAAAAAGACTAACATTAACCGATTAAACAAAGTATCAAAATGGTGCGAAAAAAAAAACAAAAAATAATGTAAACAGAAAGTTTCTTGACTATTTATTTGCAACAACCCTAAGTGGAATGAACGCAAGTGTTTCCTCTTCAAAATTACTACAAATTAGCATGCAGAATCGTAGTCAAATTAGAGAACTGATGACAATGTGCCACGCGAAACAAACTGAACTGTACCCCCTTTATCCCCCCAGTCCCCGCAGCGAATCAAAACAACCCACCACTTAAATTTAGACCGAGATTTGAAACCCTCGCTGAAATATTTCCATGTCCGAGAATGCAAACAATAATGTAAACATAATTAAATGGACCAACGCTCTGAATTTGTGTAGTAGGCGAAGCTAGCCCCCTCCCCTCTCCCCAGTCCCCCTTGAATGATATTAAAACAACTGTCTTCTGAAAAACCGATAGGAATGTGTCATAATATTCTCGTAGCCAATTTGAAACGGAAGCAAAGCCCCCAAACTGAATGAAATAGATGTTTCTGGACTCCGCGAGGAAAACAATACAACAAGGTGTCATACTTATACATGTGATTTCAGTGGCATAGGTGCAAGAAGAATAAAAAAAAAAAAACAAACACAAGTTGAAAATTTAGCCTAATTCGTGTGACCACACAGTAACAGTCGTTATCGGAAATTTAATCCACCAAATAAAAAAGTAAACATTGAAGCAAAACCGTTGCGTAGTCGGCCGGAATCTGACGGGAGGCAAGAGGTGTAATCCATAGAGAACCTAATATTAACATTACTATAAACTACTATAAACTAATTGGTACAGAAGAGATGGGGATGATAAGATATTTAGAGAGAAAGACAGAAATTAGCCAACGGTATAAATCATGAACACTAAAGAATTTGCGGCGAAGATGTAAGAAACAGATGGAAAATTATATACATTTACAATTATGATTGAACCGAGTGAATATTTAAGGCACAAGAGAGAAGCAAGAGAACATCAATTGGAATAAGTTATTTGAGCCAACTGGCTGGCAGATGGTGGAACGTGAACTTCAAACTATTACGATGATGATGGGATATTAAAATAAGTGAACTAAATGGAAGAAAATTATTGCAGAAAACGGAAAACAATACCGGAAAAAATAAACAAAAATGTAAGTGAAAAACATAACGGTTGACTTAGGGAAGTGAATCGTGAGGTGATAAATCACATTCCTATCTGTGGAGGGTATGAATACCGGTGGAAACTAACGATTTTAAATTGGATCACTACTTGACTAGCCTATTGGTCCCAAGCAAATCGATTAACGTACCCAATTCTAGTCAAAATTCTAGTACCACACTATGTTTGTTTTGATTCGCTATGCAAGTTTGACCGATAAAATGAGGGGATTAGCATGGGATAGAGCTGAGCCAAAAAGTTGAGCACGTTTCTTCGGGACCTTCTAGTCTAAGAAGGTCCCGAAGAAAGGTGCTCAACTTTTTGGCTCAGCTCTGGTACTATCTCCGGTCCCAAGCTAATCGATGCAGCCCTCAAAACAATGGAAAATTCACGAACCCCTCATTTTAATACTCATTTTAATACCCTCCAAATCTCGATTAGACGCATGTTAACGGAGATAAATCGATTTAAAGATTTGCCTACTCGCAAGCCTGAAAATACTGGCTTGGGACATATTTTTTGGAATTTTTTTTCTGACACCAAAATACCCTCAAAATCTCGATTAGACGCATATTAACGGAGATAAATCGATTTAAAGATTTTCCTACCCGCCAGCCTGAAAATACTGGCCTGGGATAATTTTTTTGAAAGAAAATTTCTGCCACCAAAATACCCTCCAAATCTCGATTAGACGCATATTAACGGAGATAAATCGATTTAAAGATTTTCCTACCCGCCAGCCTGAAAATACTGGCCTGGGAAATTTTTTTTGGGAAAAAATTTTCTGACACCAAAATACCCTTCAAATCTTGATTAGACGCATATTAACGGAGATATATCGATTTAAAGATTTCCCTACCCATCAGCCTGAAAATACTGGCCTTAGACAATTTTTTTGGTAAAAAAATTTCTGCCACCAAAATACCCTCCAAATCTCGATTAGACGCATATTAACGGAGATAAATCGATTTAAAGATTTCTCTACCCGCCAGCCTGAAAATACTGGCCTTGGACAATTTTTTGGAAAAAAAATTTCTGCCACCAAAATACCCTCCAAATCTCGATTAGACGCATATTAACGGAGATAAATCGATTTAAAGATTTCCCTACCCGCCAGCCTGAAAATACTGGCCTGGGAAATTTTTTTTGGGAAAAATTTTTCTGACACCAAAATACCCTTCAAATCTTGATTAGACGCATATTAACGGAGATATATCGATTTAAAGATTTCCCTACCCATCAGCCTGAAAATACTGGCCTTAGACAATTTTTTTGGTAAAAAAATTTCTGCCACCAAAATACCCTCCAAATCTCGATTAGACGCATATTAACGGAGATAAATCGATTTAAAGATTTTCCAACCCGCCAGCCTGAAAATACTGGCCTGGGACATTTTTTTTGGGAAATTTTTTTCTAGAGTCTAATCGAGATTAGGAGGGTATTTTGGTGTCAGAAATTTTTTTCCAAAAAATATGTCCCAAGCCAGTATTTTCAGTCTGGCGGGTAGGGAAATCTTTAAATCGATTTATCTCCGTTAATATGCGTCTCATCGAGATTTGGAGGGTATTTTGATGTCAAAAAATTTTTCTCAAAAAAAAGGCCCGGACCAGTATTTTCACGCTTTATAATCTCAAACTAACCGACGTCGATTGGGTGTGTTTGAGTTTGAAGTGGTCTGCTGGCTTGACTGAACTTTACTCCCAAAACCCCAATCAAATGACTCAAACACGAAGAAACCGTGGCTGGCGATAAGGGAAACAACAAATTTACATCCAATATGAAAACAACCTGCTCCTCTAATAGCTTACCGTTTCCAATCACCCAATATATGCATCCAATCTCGCAGCCTCACCTGGTGATAAGATAAGACGGAAAGGTATGCAGCTAATGAACGACACAAATCGCCCCTCAGTCCAATTGAGTGACCAGCACCAATCGATTCAGTCCCACTTCAGTCGCTTCCCGAATCGGTTCAAATTTTAACCATGAGCAATTCGGTAGACATCCACTCGAAGCCTTATGCAGCGGCATCACCGCTGGAGCCTCGTTCTCAATTGGAAATGTTCCTAGTGGCTTTGAGATTACTGCTGGATCTGGTATTGTGCTTCCTGAAAAGCATTCCACTATGGGTGGAAATTGTGGTGGAGCTGTTCTCTCCGCCTCCACCGAAGAACATCAGCGGACAAACGGCACTGGTTACAGGAGGAGCTAATGGTATTGGGAAGGCCATCGCTACCGAGCTGGCTAAGGAAGGATGTAACGTGGTTATTGTTGATCTAGATCAGACCAACGGGGAGAGAACGGCCCAGGAACTGAAACGATACAACGTGCAATCGGTGGCCTATAAGGTGAGAAAAGTGCTTATCAGCTTGTGTGAGGAAGGCGATTGATTGATTACGTACAGTAGGCTACTACGAGCTGTGCAAAGGTCAATCGTAGTAATCGATGGGTTTTATTGCAGTTTGACGTAGCCGACTATGATCAGGTGCGGGAGTTGCACCGTCTTGTTAAGCGGGACGTTGGACCGGTCGACATTCTGGTGAACAATGCCGGGATCCTGCCGTTTATGTCGCCAAACGAGAAGAATCCTTCGGAGATTCGCCGGATGATGGAAGTCAATGTGTTGTCCGGATTTTGGACGGTGGAGCAGTTTCTACCGAGTATGATCCGACGGCGCCGGGGACATATAGTGGCCATCGCTTCCGCGTCATCATACACTCCAGTGGGTTGGATGAAGAGCTACGTGACGTCGAAGTATGCCGTGCGAGGCTACATGGAGGCACTGGACGAGGAACTGTATCTGATTGGTCAAACCGATCTGGTCAAGACGACTACGGTGTTCCCGTTTGTGATCAACACCCGCAAGCAGTTGATGGATAAATTTGATCACATGCCGTGAGTTTGTAGCTTGGGGTTTCGATGCTGGGAAAGTTGATGATAACAGTTGGTAATTTTAGGGGAGTTTCCACGATGCCGAAGTTTTCTCCCGAGGAAACGGCAGTGACGATTCTGGAGGCTATCAAGGCCAACAAACGGAAGGTGGTCGTTCCAAAGGTGGTTCGAGCGTGGCATTTGAGTTTCTACGAGTAAGTAATTGTGGGCTCGTATTTGGGAGTTAGGGATTACAAAATTACATTTTTACTTGCAGGCATATACCAATCAAAATTCGAAGAATGTTCGATCTTACCATCATGAAGGGTCGGCCACTAGTATTGGACTAGAGTGCTACGTTTATTTGTATTGGTTAATATTATTATGTTAGAAATATATCTTTATCCTTTCAGTGCTCAAAAAAACTGAAGTCTGAAATGATCTATAGTTGTGCTGTTTACTTACGTGAAATTCAGATGGTGATGATTCCTTTTTGAGGGGCTCATGGGTGAACAACTTGAATAGTAGCTGGACGATTTTGATGTTAATAAACAATCGGTGTATCCTTCAAACAATTTTCTGCATTGACAGCTTAGCCCAACTAACGAACGCCTTTCGCTAAGTGGGCTATGGGTTTTAGCCCAAGGAGCGAAAGTTGACTTTAATGTCGATAAAACAAATTCCGGTCTGTTTGATTCTTTTCTTCTTACATCGAATTTTATGCAGTTTAGTTTTTAATGCATAGCTCAGTTAGATCTACACGTTAAAATGGTTATCCAAATTTAGATAACAGCTTAACCTTATTTTAAATACACATCACAAAACTTAAGGGGCGATTCAAATATGAGGCCCCCAAGTTTTTCGTTTTCAATTTTTGTCAGATCCCATATGTTACACGTACTGTCACAAGTTCTGGAACTCCTGCCCCCCTCAATAGCGGATGTTATATTTTAACTGTCACAAGCTATAATATTGAGTACAAAATCATTAATCTACACAATTTATTTTGTTTTCGTCAGTTTGGGGGTTGTTCATAATCCACGTAAACCAAAATGTGATACTGTTAACCTCTCCCTATTCCCTCGTAGGCTGCAGTATACTTTTCTGAAATCCCTTCCCACATAAAGTCTTCGAAAACTTTGTTACGTTTAGTTTAGTTTATGTTAGAACAGTTCATAATTAAGGAACATTTCCAACAAAAAACACATAGGGAAAAGATTCAGTGTAGGCCGAGAGGTGTAATTAGATGCTGCATGGGTACATTGCTTGACAGCCACCGTACACCGCTAATTATTTTGCACACAAAAGCTGCTGAATATCATCCGTCACATTGGCTTCCGCTGAAAGCGAATGACAGGAGAAAGCAAGCAATCGCGCAGACTGGCAAAACGTTTGCTTGTGCGCGGGTGTTTTCGTCTCGTGCGGGGAAACAATCGGTCGGTGGTCCCAAAAGCGGGCAAAGTGGAATCGGATTTGTACCTTGACCGTTCGCCGGACAGTGGCAGGCAGAAAAAGTGACACCAACTTCGCACGGGCAGAGCCATATTGGGGCTGCCTGATTGAGGTGCAGTACAGGCACGAGAACGATCAAAATCTGATGGGATTAGTTCGATCTATCGGAACTTACGGAGCGAACACGGGCGGAGCCGAGAGGGTGAGTGACATACAACCACTTGAAAAGGCAAGACTATGAACCAGTGCTTTTCTCTAACCTTGCAGTGATTCGGAAGTTTTCCCCATTGTTTTGCGAAGTCACGGGATTGGCACTAGCACACGCTCAAAGACACGCAGCGCATTGTCAGTGCGCAGGCTTAACGCGCCGCTTGAATTCCGAGAGAATCTAGCAACCAGAAAGGCCTTCGGAAGAAGTAAGTCACCATTGCTCTGGAGGAGATGAACCTGATCCTAACCCCGATGGGCCACAGGGCCTTTCTTTTGATCTCTTCTGATTTTCCAGCGCGCCGGAGAACGGTTTGCACAGGACGATGATCGAGGGTCCGCGCGTGTGAGCAGAACAACGGCTTACGGCTGCGAGTGGGACAAGCGTCGAGCACAACCGGGACAGAGCATTGTGCACTGGCCAACCAGACGGAAGCGACGTGTTTGATTCACGGAAGGACGGCAAAGGCAAAAGCGTGTTGGCTACGAGTACCTACGTACACGGTCGAGACGAAGAACCGTGCGCACGTGATCCAAACGGGAAGCCAGCGGTAGAATCCAAGCTGGAACCCAGCAGTTCTCTGGTCGAGCCCATGCATCGAAGTCGATAGAGCCCCGTAGAGAACAACCCGCTCTCATGTGCAGCAGCAAGGTTACCCTCGGCAGCTTCAGCAGTAGATAGTAGAACTTTCATAAACGTAACGTTAAGAGTACAAGGACGAAACAGAGTAGAGAAGATGAACAGATAAGGAAGTGGTAGGAGGCAAGGAAGAAGGAACAGGGGAATGTGGGGTCAAGAGGAGGTGTGAATAAATAAGTTAAATGAAGTTCAATACCTCTTTATAATTTGTTGGTGCAGAAGCCTTTTGTGTTCTAGTTTTGGGCATCCTAGGTAGTCACGCTCTATCGTCACTTGGGAAATCTGGAACAACTTTTATAATTATGATAAAAAAAAAAATTGTTGTATTGCCTCAGATTATATTGTATTCATAATACTAAATCGACCTCTGCAGATTTGTTAAACTCGACAATCCATTACAGAGTTCTCAATCAACAGGACGAGTTTTTTTTTTGCTGAGATTCAGCAATGCATTGTCCGAGACTCAGCAACCAAACGTCAATTTTGCTTAGATCTCAGTAAAATAGATTGCCGAGCTGTGCATATCTTCGCAAAAAAAAGCCAAAAGTAAGAGGTTGTATCAAAGAAATGACCGTAGATATGACATAGGATTACGTGGTCGGTATCAATATTCGGCGACTGTGTTAGAGAAACCAATTTTTCCCGTCACGGAACGCACGAAATTTTTGGTTTATTCAATAGATAATAAAAAAGCGAAATTTTTGTGGAAGAATTTCTTGCTAATATATTCATGATCGATCATTTAAATTCAAGATTTTTTTCTAGCGGCCTGAAGAAAACCGGGCGTAGGTATGTGGCAACCCAGCAGAAGGATGACATCGCCTCCCTTCGAATCGGATCTAGTCGCTCCAGCACAACGTCAGCGTTTTCGGTTTGCCTGAGCCAGCTGGTGGAAAGGCAACAAGCCGAAAGAGCTCGTGCAGTGCTAGCGCTACAACGTCGTCATCTTGACGAGCAGCAACAGCTCATTGACAACGTGCTAGGAGGAAACATAGCAGGCAGCCATTGTGGTGGCGTTTCATCCAGTGGTGCGAACATTAAAGTGGCGCCGCCCGCCCAACGTATGCGCCTTCCAACTCCACCTGGCCCCGGGGCTCCCTTAGCTTCGTCTGTTCGTCGATCAACACCACTGTTGGGTACACCCAGAACTACCGTACCACCGATGGGTTCGACTGCAGTGCTGGAGCCATCCGCTTCAAGGTCTCAACAGGAAAAGGAGCATCCACAAACCGCCCTTTTGGAACTCAGGAACCGTGTTAAGCAGTGCGAAAAGCGCGCCAAACCAACACCTGAGTAACTGTCAGCGTTACGTGTACAGATGGAGGTGTGCAGAACCCTTCTGGAAGAGTTCCAGTCCGGTGAAGAAACAAGCAGACAAGCTCAACGGTCGGATGCAAGCGATCCGGTAGGACGACGACTACGAAAGCAAGCGACGACAACAAACGAGCCGCGAATGGAGAAGCAGACCGGCGCCATTCCTAAGGCGAGTCAGACGTTGGAATCGGTACCGGAAGCAAATACTAGTCTGCAGAACCCTCTCTGGCAATTGAGGGATCCGGTAAGCCAACGCAGTTTGCCTTCGGTAAGTCAACCAAACGCTGAAATGCGTCCGAACCACGTCGAACCCCCAGGTAAGCGTCAAGCCTTGAATCATATGAACGTATCCCCTTCCTACCATTGCCCCACGACCAATAATTACGAAACAACCCGTGAGCAGCTGCGAATTGACGCGCGCCCGGGAGAACTTAATATGCCCCCCTCAAATTTTCACGAGCAGCTGCGAGAATCCCTCGCGCGCCCGAATGCCTCGAAAACCTTGACTCGAGATAACCGTCAATCCGAACAACACTCAATCGAAGAGCAAACGCGTGAACCTCCCCCGCGTATGGTTGAGTCGTCTCAGCCCCCTCGTCAGTCAGAAAGTACACTAAGATACCAAGCGATTCCTTCCCCAGTGCAACACGGTGCTCCCACACAGCAGCAGCTAGCAGCAAGGCAGTCCCTGGCTAAGGAACTTCCTCGATTCTCCGGTGACCCTGCGGACTGGCCGATCTTCATTTCGAATTATCGCTACACGACTGAAGCTTGCGGTTTTTCGGATGGAGAGAATATTCTTCGCCTACAACGACGTTTGACTGGACCGGTGCTGGAAACTGTGCGCAGTCGGTTGGTATTGCCAGCAGCGGTGCCCCAGGTAATCGAGACTCTTCGTATGCGGTTTGGACGACCGGAACTGCTCATAAATTCTCTGCTGAGCAAGGTGCGGGAAATCCCAGCTCCAAAGTCCGACAGGTTGGAGGACTCATCGACTTCGGGATGGCGGTGCAGACCTTATGCGACCACATTGAAGCGGCGAATGAGCGCGCTCACCTATCGAACCCGGCTCTTCTGCAGGAACTCGTCACGAAACTTCCCGCGGACCAACGAATGATGTGGGTGGGATACAAGCGGGGATTCCATTACGTCGATCTAAAAAACTTCGGTGACTATATGGCGTCAGTGGTACAGGATGCGACTAGTGTGGTGACCTTTGAGCCAGAAGGTAAAAGGAGCAGTGCTCGCGACCGTCCGAAGAGCAAGGGGTTCGTGAACGCTCATGCAGTCGAAAGCGCGGGGAGTTCCGGAGTTTCATCGAGCGAACCGAGGGAATCACCCAAACAATTCGACTGCCTGAACTGCAACAAAAGTGGGCATCGAGTGCGCGATTGTGAAGTCTTCAAGAAATTGGACGTCGATGATCGCTGGAGAAGAGTTCGTGCGCTGTTGCTGTGCCAGAACTGCCTGTTTAACCATGGACGTCGTGCGTGTCGAGGACGAAAGACTTGCGACATTGAAGGCTGGCAGTTTCGCCACCATCCTCTCCTCCACTCCCGAAGAGGACCACCGAAGTTGTCGGCACCGATGCCGAGAGTTCAGGTAGTCGATAACCATACCCACCATCACGCAATGTCATCGAAACTCTTCCGTATCATTCCCGTGATACTCCACGGTCGTAATGGGTCAATTGAAACTTTCACTTTCCTCGATGAGGGTTCTGACCTGAAACTAGTGGAACACGACCTGGCTCCTGCGCTGGGCGTGAAGGGGACGCCTCATCCTCTATGTCTTCGGTGGACTGGCATACTTCGCGATTGGAGAAGGAATCGCGACGGATCACTATCGAGATCGCTGGAAATGGGCCACAAGTTGGTGAACGCGAGGACCGTCAACAATCTCAGTCTTCCCGTCCAAAGCTTCCAGGCCGAAGAAGCGGTGAAAGTGTACCCGCACCTAAAGGGCATCCCAGTAAGCAGCTATCAGAATGCCAAACCCAAGATCCTCATCGGCATCGACAATCTGCATCTGGCACTTCCGCTGAAGATAAGAGAAGGTGATGGATCTGCGCCGGTGGCTGCTAAAACAAGGCTAGGCTGATGCGTCTATGGTCCTCGAGGAAGCAGCAATCGTGAATCGTACAGCTTCCACGTTGGAGAATGCGCCTGTGACGAGAAGCTCCACGAGACGGTGAAAGATTTTTTCGATATTGAGAACACTGGAACGGGTCTAGTTGACGAAGGATGATCAACGAGCGGTGACCATCATGGAAACTACGACTCGACGAGTTGCGGACCGTTTTGAGACGGGATTAATTTGGAAGGAGGACCAAGTGGAATTCCCTAACAGCTATACGATGGCATCGTGACCCGGAGCTGAAGGAGAATCTACATCGACAAATACGCGAATACGAAGTGAAGGGCTATGCACATAAGGCGACGAAAGCGGAAATTGAAGCAGCCGACTCAAGAAGAACGTGGTACCTACCAGTAGGAGCAGTCATGAACCCCAAAAAACCGGGGAAGGTCCGTATAATCTGGGATGCGGCCGCTAAAGTAGATGGTGTATCTCTGAATAGTGCACTACTCAAAGGCCCGGATCAACTATCTTCTCTACCAGGGGTCCTATTCCGCTTCCGTCAGTATGGGGTGGCAGTAAGCTCGGATGTTCAGGAGATCTTCCACCAACTCCGAATCCGAGAAGAAGACAAGATTTCTCAACTATTTTTATGGCGCACCAATCCATCCGACAATCCAACGGTGTACGTGATGGATGTTGCAACATTCGGGAGCACCTGCTTGCCAGCATCAGCACAATTCGTGAAAAACCGCAACGCCGAGGAACATTCCGAAGCCTACCCCGAAGCGACAAATGCGATCATTCACGACCACTACGTCGACGATTATCTGGTGAGCTTTAGCTCCGTGGAGGAAGCAGCAAAGGTGGCAAGCGATGTGCGCTACGTTCATGGCAACGGAGGATTCAAGCTTCATAACTGGCGGTTGAACAGCAGCACGGTGCTCAACAGACTAGGCGTAGTCCAACACGATGCCGATAAGGAGCTGGACCTGATCGAAGGCGCGAAAACCGAAAGGGTGCTCGGTATGCTTTGGAGTCCGTCAACCGACGAACTGAGTTTCTCTACACAGATGAGCGAAGAGGTGCAAACGCTGATACGCACAACTACGAGGCCGACGAAGAGACAGGTGCTGCGATGTGTGATGACCCTATTTGATCCGTTGAGGTTGCTTTCACCGTTCATCATCCACGGAAAGGTTCTGATTCAGGACCTATGGCGAGAAGGTACGGAGTGGGACGAACAAGTCAGTGATGAGGTCTACAAGAAATGGCAGAGGTGGATACAGATGATCGAATACATAGCCGAGATCCGAATCCCAAGATGTTACTTCCCTAGTGATACTCGGAGGACCTACCAGAATTCCGAAGTTCATGTGTTCGTCGACGCAAGCGAGGTGGCGTATTCTTGTGCGGTCTATCTACGCACATTCAACGAAGACGGCGATCCGCAGGGTTGCCTAATCGCCGCCAAATCAAAGGTTGCTCCTCTGAAACCTTGGTCTATTCCCCGGCTGGAACTACAGGCATGTGTCTTGGGCGCACGGTGGTCGAAATTCGTCATAGAAAACCATCAACGTTCTCGTATCCAAGACCACGTACTGGACGGATTCAAAAACAGCGCTAGCCTGGATTAAAGCTGATGCGCGTAACTATCGACAGTTCGTCTCCTATCGGGTAGGCGAGATCCTGGAACATTCAACGGCAGCTCAGTGGCGGAGGGTACCGTCAAAATCCAATCCAGCGGATGAAGCGACGAAATGGGGAAGTGGCCCGTACTTCGATCACGACAGCAGTTGGTTTCAAGGACCCAACTTTCTACGATTGCCGGAAGAAGAGTGGCCCCGTATTAAGGAACCAGTGACCGCTACTAACGAAGAAATACGTGCATCGATTCTGCACCACCGATCGTTCGAACCCACAATAGACTTCAATCGGTTCTCATCCTGGGATAGGCTGCAACGTGCAACCGCATACGCTCTTCGATTCCTGCACAACACGTCTAAGAAGCGGCCGGAATACTCCGGGCCGTTGCAACAGTCGGAACTTCGAGCGGCTGAAGAAACAATCCTTAAGCTGGTACAGCATGAATCCTACCCAGATGAAGTTGCCGCACTGTCGAATAAAGCACCGAACGAAGCGGGACAGGAGGATATCGGGAAGCAAAGCTCCAGCTATCAACTGATGCCAATGCTGGATGGTAACGAATTGCTACGCGAGCGCGGTCGGATCGAGATAGCTGAACATGTTCCCTATTGCGTGCGACATCCGGTGATCCTCCCGAGGAAGCATCGCGTCACGGAACTCTTAGTGAACCGATACCATCGCTATTATCACTATGGGAACGACGAAACGGTGGTTAACGAGGTCCGGCAGCTATACACAATCCCTAGACTTCGATTGGTGGTCAAACAGGTGAAACGCGATTGCACCTTGTGCAAGATTCGTCGAACACGACCAACGATTCCGCCGATGGCACCACTTCCGGCTGCACGTCTAGCGCACCACGAACGACCATTCACTTATACTGGAGTGGACTATTTCGGACCGCTGTTGGTGAAGCTGGGAAGATACGCGCGCTGTCCATTTAGAAGTTGCCTACTCACTATCAACGGAATCATGCATTTCCTGCGTCCGCAGATTCGGGGGTCGCCGGGGGCCACCAGCCGAGTTCTTCAGCGACAATGGAACGAATTTCCAAGGGGCGGACCGAGTACTGCAGCACCAAATAAACCAACTGTCGACTGTCCACAACATTCACCGGTAGGAACACAAAATGGAGCTTTATACCACCGGGAGCACCACACATGGGGGGAGCTTGGGAACGTTTGGTTCAATCCGTAAAGACAGCGATGGTAGAAGCGTACTCCGAGGGGAAGCTGCATGATGAGGGGCTGCAGACACTGGTCGTGGAGGCTGAGAATATGGTAAACTCAAGGCCTCTGACGTATTTACCACTCGAGTCCGAGGAGGCAGAGGCACTCACACCGAATCATTTTTTGCAGCTGAGTTCGAATGGGGTGAAGAGAATCAGCGAAGGAGGCGAAGCGGTAGTTCGGGGACAGTCGCCAGAGCTAGTTCGTCGGCAAATCCTAGGTAGATCATGGGAGCTGATTCAACGGCAACTGGAGGCATTCTGCAAGCGCTGGTTGATAGATTACCTGCCGGTGATCCGTCGACAAACAAAATGGTTTGAGGAAACCAGAGCACTCGAACCTGGAGATATGGTAATGGTGGCGGAGCCAGCGAAGCGGAATGGATGGGAGCGAGGACGAAGCATCCATATGATCCCGAATCCGGATGGCCGGAAGCGAAGAGCAGTGGTAAAGATTGGTGGAAAAACTCCAGTGCGGCCGGTGACAAGGCTGGCACTACTCGATGTGAAGGAGAAACGTGAAGTTCCGGAGAACACCGGACTACACCCGGGGGAGACTGTCGATGCAAGATTCGATGAGCTGGCCGCCCTGTCAACCGACGTTTCCAAAGGCTGTTAAAGCGCCGCTGCAGTAATATTGACAGACGTCAACGCTGGTGGCTCGACTCGAGCTGTCAACAGCAGCGACAGGGAAACGGGGAAGAATATTTCTGTTTGGATAAAGTTCGCGGCGTGGTCGGTAGTGTTTCTTACCGCTACAGTTAAAATTATTTTGCTATTATATTACTTATATTAGGGAGTGCTGGAGTTTATTACAATCTAGTAAAGGAGGTAAAAAGTTCAAAATATTAAATCTAAACTTAAAACGAAAATAATTCTAAACTTACCTAGGACCTAGAAGCTAACCTAAAACTTAAAGCGCAGGGTGAGGCCCCACGCTATAAAGAATCACCAAATTTGTGAGTAAAATGAAAATTATGATAATGATGTATCAAATGAAATAAAATAATTGCAGTGAAGCAAACGTTACAGCAAAAAGCTTTCAGAAAAGATTCTCTGACCTTTCCCCCACCTGCGCGGACATGTGGCGATCTAGCCCTGACGTTTGTGTTGGTAGAGGGAAAAATGTAAACTTTGCGGGAGACGATGGTGACGACGTCATAACACTCGAAAGGAAATTTGCGAAATAAGAAGTAAAACAAATCCTAGCTATTATTGCATGATGATTTTGCTTGATTGTATTCTTTTGTAAAGTCACCGCAAAATATCATCTGGCAATTTTTATTTTATGATAACTCCTTACTTGAAAACAGGCAAAAACTCACAAACCGGCTGCTTTTTCATGGTATAAAGTGTGATAATTCATTAATCAATAAATTATCTCAACATTTAGTGCAGACCATTCATAAATTTTGGTAACATACATAAATTCTATAATCCATATTAATTTTCCTCTGCAAGCGCCGATCGAAACAAACGCTATGACGTCACTACTAGGGTGATTGAGTGAACGAAAGAAACGAATCGTGCGAAGGGGAATGAAAGCCGAGTGAAAAACGAAGTGCACCAATACATTTAGGCCTACAATTCCACACCTTGTATAGACCAGGTTGGCTTGGAACAAGGGTGACGCGCTTGGCATAGATGACCCACAGCGACTCACGAAGAGCTGCTTAATCCGATCAGTAGCGGTGCAGCTTCTTCCTCCTTCTTTGGTAAATGGACGCTCGTGTGGGCTGTGGTTCGCTGCTTGCGGGCAGCCTTTGGTTGTTTACTGGATAATAATGTGCAACGCCACACGCCAAAAGTACTGCTGCTGCTGCTGCTGATGATGATGTTGATGATAACGATCGATCGGATACCACCACACACGGTGATTGAATAAACAGCGTTCGGCGAGACCGGATGGAATTCGATTTTGAAATCTGTGTTAGGGAAAGGGCTTTTTGCAGGTAATCGGTGATAGTGACCTATTGACAATTGATAAAGTGTTCACCTTAGCAGATATGTAGAAAAATTTCCAATCCATCCCCTATTGACAGAGTTATAAGTGGTCAAAACCTGACCACTTTTCGTAACGCGGTCAATTTTGGTTTTTTTAAATTGCACCCCCATTATTTAGCCAAAAGACGTAACTCTATGTAAAAAATATGTATCTAGATTTTTTGTCGACGAACCCTTACCAAACAGATAAGACAAGTTCTCAATAAATAGAATGCTTCATGTTAAGTGAGTTTTAATCCTGTTAATTTGAGTTTTGATTCGCACAAACTAGGCATTTGCTTGGGGTTAATTATGAATGAGATGGACCTTTTCGAACGTATTGAATTTTTAATGCCATATGATCTGTATGATGAACGACCTACTGTTTATGTGTGTCATATGAAACAGAAATTGATCGCTTCAAATTCTGTGGTGTTTATTGACAGCGAAGACTTGCTTGCTAAATATGATTGCAAAAAGATTAATATTCTCGGTAAAATTATATACAACTTTAAACAAATAAAGAGTACAATTGATTAGAAATATTACTTTTTTTTCGTATTTACTGGTTCTGCTGCTGGTTATTATCATCCCTTGAACAACTCTCGAATCAAGAGCCGGGTGATTTTCCGAGGTAGATCCCTGAAAATTAAAGACAAAACAAGGCATTAGGAATGAAATTGAAAATTTAGGAAAATACAAACCAGAACCAGGCAATTTCATTAAACTCCATTTAAAGAAGATCAAAATATTAACGATAGCGTACAGGACAATTGAAAAATGTATAATGAGAGAGAGAAGGATTAGTATTTTCCATTTAATTCCACTACTTTATTTGCTTATCCTTGACAGATACGCGTATTTCGTCTACAATGTGCAGACTTCTTCAGTGTCTTGTACTAATACTCGACTGAAGAAAAACATCGCATTTACCGAATATATATTAACACAGGTACATTTTCACTTAGAAACTAGGTAAACTTAAATTTAATTTTCTATAGGAACAGGTACTCCGCTGCTTACTCGTTGATGTGTCCTAGGTAGTAGAATTCTCGCTTTTTTATCGATGATTACCTGGATTGTGGTCTTGCTTGGATTGCCCGGATGTCTTGCTGTTTCGAAGATGTACTGTAATTCCTTAACCTTTCCTGTATCGCTGAGTGGAAGAGTCTGCATTCGGTGAATCATGTGGTGAAAGGCGGCCATTTTCTGCTGGAACGAATGGTTGGAAGTATAGGGGATAACTCTTTTGGTGCTTGTTGGTTTCCTGTAAATTTCGTATTCAAGCGAGGAAGATGATGACGATTCCCTGATGACTGGAAGATCGAGAAATGCGAGTTTCCCGCCTTTTTCTACCTCGTGAGTGAATTTGATATCCTTGTGAATTCTGTTGATCTCATCTAAAATTTGTGGAAGGGCTTCCCGTTTAACTACGCTGAAGATATCGTCAACCAACCTCCACCAACGGTTTGGTAATAGTCCTTTCTCCTTCAGGATTGTCTCCAAGTTGGCCATGAAAAGTTCACACAAGAAGGGGTATAGGGGGTTTCCCATTGGGGCTCCTTTCGTCTGCTTGTAGAAGTTACCTCGGAAAGAGAAGTAGTTCTCTTCCATACAAAGGCGGGTCAGCTTAAGGTACGTCCGAACCTTGTTTCTCCATGCTGCATCCTCTCGTTGTGTTATAGCCAGTCCTCCAAATGGTTGATCGCTTCCTTTACCGGTACGCTGGGAAAAAGAGCTGTGACGTCGAAAGATACCACAATGTCGTCCTCGTTGATTGAAGATTGCAGTTGCTGGGCGAACTACTGGGTGTTACTAACTGCTTTACTCTGGAACTGATTCGGCATACTCTGGAACTCTTTGACTAGCCACTTCGCTAGTTTGTGGGTGGGGGAACCAACTGCAGACACGATCTCTCGCATTTCATTTCCTGGTTTGTGGACTTTGGGAAGACCTTTGATCCTGGGTAGAATGGGATTGGGTTCCCGTATACATATCCATCTCCTAATATCGATTTGCACTCCTTCAGTGCTTTCTCCACGCGTTTCACTATGTTCTGTAAGGGGTCTACTCGAAGCTGTCTATACGGTCCGTTGTTAATCTTCGTTGTCATTTGATTATCGTAATCGTCCTTGTCCATGATAACGACCGCGTTTCCCTTGTCTGCCTTCACGTAGTATACTGCTTTACTTTTTAGCTCCTTTACAATCTGAATATCTTTTTCGTTGGTGCGACTTTGTTCTTGTCCGTCCTTGATTATGTTCGATGTGATAGTCCTGGCCGTATTTTGTGATGATGCTGGAAGTGTATCGCTGTCTCTACGTCAATGATGATCTGCTCCACGTCTGGCTTGGTTGTAACCGCGTATCCTAGCCCCTTGTTGAGGTGTGTCAATTGTTCTTCCGTGAATGCGGTCGTCGATCGGTTGACAACCAACCCATCAATGAAGTGAACCCTCGGCGTCGTGGTGATGGTTGATGGGATCTGCTCACCCGTTATTGGTGCCAGTGACATCCTGGGAATCAATTTCCACTCATCCCACCAAATTCTATGGGAGCTATTTCGATTAAGAGAGGAAACATTTAGAAATGGCATGCTAAACATACATTCTTTCCGGAAAAATCTAAATATATGATTCCCGGGAAATTAACTCTGTGAAGAACAATCGATAAATTAAAAGAAGTTTCTGGATGCTCATGGAAACTTTTTGGAGAGGCTGTAAGGAGCTTCCAGAGCGATCAGAAAAAAGCTTCCAAAGAAAGTTAGAAGCAACATTCAGAGGAAGCTGGCGGACTCCCGACATCCAAGATGGGGCAAGTTGGCAGAAACTTTAAGAAAATGTTTAGAGAAACGTCCAGAAAAATTTCGCAGACATTTTACCCAGAAATTCCGAGAAGTTCGCAGAACTTTTCAGGAATTCCGAGATCTATCCAAGAATCCTTACAATTTCACAGAAGCTCCGAGTACTCATTACAAGTTCCAAGTATTTTCGAGAAGATCCGAAAACTTACCAGAAATTTCCGAAAATTCCTTCTGTGTTACTTGACTTATAACGAATATACGTTGTGCCCGCGGACCTCGAATACAACACAAGGGGAAATGGATGTAATGTTGGCCTAAATGTCCCTAATTTGGGCCCATACATAAATTCAGCAATCGACTTACTTTTCAATAGCGCCCAAAAATATCCATTAGTACCGTTCATCAAGATAAAATTGATAAATAGCAGATTTTTAACGATGGGCCCAATCTTAGATCCAGAGGCCAACATTAGAGCCATTTCCTCTAAGTTGTCTAAATTAACATAGCATTTGCAATGCACAATTAGCCCCTTCACGTTTCTCAGTCTTGCCAGTCTTAGTTGAGCGTTTCAAAAATGTAGAATTTTTATTATTTTATTTTTTAATCTATCAAGAAGATCCGAAAACGTCCCAGAACTTCCGTTCTGAAACTCTCCAGAAATATCCAGAATTTGACAGAAAATCCAATAAAATCCCAAAAATTTCGGGATATGCCAAGAGCTTCCCAGATATTCTGAGAACTTACCATAAATATCTAAAACTTTCAAAAGTTTTCGGAATTCTCGAAACATGCGCGAAGGTCCCGGGATTTCTGGAAAATTCTAGGTTCTTCTGGGAAGATTTCGGTTATTCTATAAATGTCATGATAATTCAGGGAAAACTTTAAAACTTCTGAGAAGTTTTCGAAATTTCTGAGAAGTACTCGAATCAAGTGGGAAGATCTTGGAAATTCTGGGAAGATCTCAGAAAATGTGGAAAGGTATTTTGGAATATTTGGGAAGTTCTTGGAATTTCCTAGTATCTTACATTCTGGATAAGTCTCGAAGTTCTCGCATCTGATTAGTATATAACTCGTAGATAAAAGATGGATTCTTCAGTGGTGCTGAGTACTTGGCACTGTTGAAGCCTGCAAGTAGTAGACGAAATACGCGTATCTGTCAAAAGATAAGCAATTATAACGGAATTTAAAGGAAATTAAATAAACCCACTCAAAGCTCTTCATAAAGGGATTCCGTTAAGAGGTTCGACAAATTTAAAAGTTTTTATAATTTCTGGGACATTCTTTGACGTCAATCTATCCAGCGGGACAAACTTAACGAATTTCAAAGTTGATACGTGTTTTGGAATGTACCAATAGCGTACCATAGCGTACCTTCAAGGATTTTGAACGTACCTCAAAGCTTCCCGGAAAACCCGTGTCCCGCTGGATAGACATACGATTTCAGCAATGACCGAGTCGATCGACCAGATTTCTACGGAAATGTGCCGTACCAAATGCGTACTTTACGAATCTGTCATTCATTTTTAACGTACCTCTTATTTTCACTTAAATGCTTATACTAAACTTTTTAAATCGTTTTATATATGAATTCTGGGCATGGAATTGGATACCTCAAAAAATGTAAGCCCGATTTCATAGAAAAAACACTATACTTAAGTGCATTCTAGCCAATTTGAGGACCAAAAACAGTTTTTTTTTTAATTTGCATCCTTTAAAAATATACTAATTTCGAACAAAACCGTTAAATTCATGAATAATTATGGAAACGCACGGTGCTGCTTGGAAAACTCCATCATAAGAAAAGCCTTGATAACTTTCTGATCGATCATGACCAACGTACCTAACTGGAATTCACTTTCTGATAGAATTTACCAGTGATTTAAATAAAAAAAATAATATTATTTTAAAAATTACATTTTTTCGATGATACATTTGAGAAAACTTGATTAAATGATCAGATATCTATACGAAATTATTTCTGAATATCCATGGAACACTAAAATTCTGATAAATTCTATCAGAAAGTGAATTCCAGTTAGGTACGTTGGTCATGATCGATCAGAAAGTTATCGAGGCTTTTCTTATTATGGAGTTTTCCAAGCAGCACCGTGCGTCTCCATAATTATTCATGAATTTAACG